TTCCTTCCTTCCTTCCTTCCTTCCTTCCTTCCTTCCTTCCTTCCTTCCTTCCTTCCAGATGGAGAACATTTTTCATTTCTTCCCTTTCTAGCTTAAGTGAAAGGAAGAAGCATCAAATCCTAGGTGGTTTGTCTCATCAGTCCTCCAAAGACATGCCCAAGGAACGGGAAGTGATTGGTCCTTCCTGCCAAATCATGGGTGGGAGGGGCAAAGGAGCAGAGGAAACTACCAATCAGGGTAATCACTGACCAGACAGAAACACTGTCCATCTGCAGGACCAAAGCAGAAAATGACATTTTAAAACCTGGCTTAAACCACCTCTTTTATGCATGAGAGACAAGTGGCTGAGTTTCGTAGACATAGAGATGCCCTTTCAAAAGAGTCAGACCTGGAAGGGCCATTAAGCCCATGAGACAATACTTTGCTCATTTCAGGAACACAAATTAAAACATCCCCAACAGATGGCAGCCAAGCCTCCTCGTGAATGGGAGGGGAGCCCCATCTCTCTGGGGCTCCTCCTTACTATATCCATGTACAAATATTCCCACAAGGCCCAATTTCACCCAAACTAGGCACTTGATTGAAGTCCATCATTTATCTCAGATCTTCTTCTTGCTCTTTTCAGATGCAGAAAAATGCACTCAGTGTCCAGGAGGTCACCATCCAAACATCCACCAAGATCATTGTATCCCCAAAATGAAAACTTTCCTTTCTTACCAAGAAAATTTGGGGGTCGTCCTGGCTTCTTTTGCCTTGTTCCTCTCTTTAATGTCAGGCTTTGTCTTGGGAATATTCATTCAATTCCAGGAAACTCCAATTGTTAAAGCCAACAATCAGGACCTTTCCTACATTCTCTTCATCTCCCTCCTGCTTTCCTTCTTGACCTCCTTCCTCTTCATTGGCCGGCCAAGGAGAGCCACCTGCCTTCTGCGACAAACAGCCTTCAGCATCATTTTCTCAGTTGCTGTCTCTTCTGTCTTGGCCAAAACAGTCACAGTGGTGCTAGCCTTCTTGGCCACAAAACCAGGCAGTAAAATACAGCGATGGCTGGGAAAGAGCTTGGCTAATTCCATCATCCTTTCTTGCTCTTGTATTCAAGTTGTCATCTGCAGCATCTGGTTGGGTACTGCTCCCCCATTCCCTGACTCTGACATGCACTCCCTACCTGGAGAGATCATCCTGCAATGTAACGAAGGTTCTGTCTCCATGTTTTATGGAGCCCTCAGTTACATGGGCTTCTTGGCTGCTGTCTGCTTTACGGTGGCTTTCCTGGCCAGGACCCTGCCTGGGGCCTTCAACGAAGCCAAGCTGATCACCTTCAGTATGCTGGTCTTCTGCAGTGTCTGGGTCTCCTTTGTGCCCACCTACCTGAGCACCAAGGGCAAGTACATGGTGGCTGTGCAGGTCTTCTCCATCTTGGCCTCCAGTGCTGGTCTGCTGGCCTTCATCTTTATGCCCAAGTGCTACATTATTCTGCTAAGGCCAGATCTCAATACAAAAGAACGTTTGATGTCAAAATTACATTGAATGCTGGGTTTGGGGTGAAGTATTTTCCAAACTGGTCAGTTATTTTAAACAAACATCTTTTGATCTTTTAATGGTCCTGATACAAAAACAAAACACCAAGTCCTGTTTTTCATGGCATGATAGAAATGGACCATCACTCTTTAATAAATATCATTTCCCCCTTTCATTTTGTTCATCTTCATCATCATCATCACCATCATATTTATTACGGTCACAGACCATAATTAAAAATAAAAGTATATTGAAAAATTCATTAAAATGCATTAGAAATAAAATAAAACAAAACATGATAATATATTTACAGATTGGTGGGATCATCAATGGGCAATCAAAGTCTGCCTAACATTACAAACAGTATAACATACTGACCATACTGATTTATAATTGTCCTTAATAAGGAAAGAATCAAACCTGTAGGAAAAAATAGTAGTTTTAGCCAATGTGCTATAATACAAGTCCGTGCACCTGTTTCAACGTTGGACAACCCTGCTTCCCTCCTTAATACTACATTTGGAATGCAGGGGGATACCTGAAATATGGCCCTCAGGAATTTTGATTGAACCCTTTCCAGAGGAGTAAAGGAAGAATAAGGTCCTAGCTGGGCACCAAAGAGTAATTGTATATGAGCCTTAGCTGAGTAAAGCTTCAGTGCTGCTGGGATATGCTCCTCTGGTAAAATGAAAAGATTGAATTGCGGCCACTGTTTTTTGAGCATTTTGTGTAACATAGTTTTGGTGTGCACTGCGTTTAGTGGAACTATGAAAAACCATGCCCAAGTATTTAAAAGATTTAACTTGTTCAATATTCTGGCCATTTATCCTCCAGATGTGCAAGTTAGGTCTCTTTGCAAAGGTCAAAACCTTAGTCTTACTATAATTGATTTCAAGTGCTTCCTCAGAGCAATAACTGCCCAGAGTATTCATGGCTCATTTGAGTCCAATTTACATTTGTGATAGGAGTACTGTGTCATCTGCGTACAACAAAGTTGCAATATGCCTGATTGCCAATTTTGGTGGGTGATGTTCTCATTGGTTTATTTTGGCCACCGGTGGATTTATATATAGATTAAACAACAGAGCAGCTAAAATACAGCCCTGCCTCACTCTTCTGTGAGTTGGAATCTCATTTGGATGATGGCCTTGCATCCTGCATCGAACTTTGATTCTAGAGTTCTTAGAGAGATTGTGCATGAGCAACAGTAACCATCTATCAATGGTACCGTAGAGGAGCTTAGACCAAATCCTTGCTCTGGGAACCAAATCGAATGCAGACCTAAAATCAATGAAAGTGGTGTATAGTGTCGAACCTGTTTAGATGTGTACTTTTCGGCCAGATGTTGGAGTATAAGGGCATGTCCGTAGATAGAAGCCTGCTTGCTCATCTGCCAAAATATGCTCTGAATCAATCCAGTCAACTAATTTATTGTATACGTGTCTGGCATAGAGCTTGCTTATTATGCT